TTTTTAAAACATACATGTGTTTAAGTCTGGTATGTGAAAGGCAGGAGGTCTTGAATCTCCTCTGTCAAAAGCCCTCAGGGTCTTCATACTCTGGTCCCCCCTCCTCCTTTGGTATAGCAGGTTGGTAATTTTTGCTGCCCTCGCCTATTTTCCAGGGAGTATCTTGCAAGTATCCAGCCCCTTACCCCAGTGTGTGTGAGAGCGGGGTCTCCCACCCTGTTGTTTCATGTAAGCAATCTAAATAAGATACAAAATGATAAACAAAATGCAAAAGCTACTCATGTTAAATATTGTCTCAGAATGGTGCTTAAAATATCAAAAACATTAAACGTTTAGTCCATCTCCTCCAAAGAGATGGTTGTAATTTGCTCTGTGTAGGAATGGCCTTGAAAACTGTTGAAAAACTGCAGCTTATTTTGAATCCAGGAGCCCATTCTGATTTAATTGAACCTAGGGAGTGCTCATCCCCCATATTTTGAGGGGCAATATTCTGTAACATTTGGCTGATGGAAACAGAGTGATACTTTCTTAATCTCCACCCACCCCACTTGTGATCTGTGCCTTGGCTATCTTAAAGAAATAATGAATCCTCACTTTGAGTTTCATTATGATCTGCTGAAGGGGGCTAAGGGGAAAAACTGAGGTTGTAAAGGATCAATTTGGGCCAGATGCTCTGGCTCCCTCAAAGGCTCCTGAGTTGCTTTCTTGACAGAATCCATGATAGAAATAAAACCTATAACAAATCTATCTATAGCAAAAGCTCAAGGATATTTTTAAAGTGGACATTTCTGAACTATTTCAAACATGGACTAAAGAATTGGAATTTCTGATAAAGCCACATCAATGGCTTCATGTCCTTAAAAATGTTAAAATGGTATCTACTGATTTGAGATTAAAGTTGATTCATCAAAGAATTGTATTTAGGGTGTACTGAACTCGCCAAAGAATGTATTTGAAAGGATGGACATCAAATTTTCTATGCTTGAGGTGTAAAAACTTTGAGGGCTCACTGACCCATATGATATGGGCTTGCGATCATTTAGTATCTTTTTGGAATAGTGTATTAATGTATATTAGTAGATTTATGGGAAAATCTTGTAATGTTGAATTATATACCAAAACTTTGGAATCTGACTGTTTATCAGGAATTGTGGTTGTATAGAGTGTGGAGGGTCGCAAAAAGAATTATATTAAGAAATTGGAAAAGTGATATTATTCCAGATGTCAAGAAATGGTTGTCAGCAATATGTGGTTTATCTGTTTTGGAAAAGATAATATCCTCTACTAATCAAAGGACTCAGCAATATGTGTTACTATGGTAGAGATTTTGTGATATCTTACAATAATATCTTGTATTGTTCATATTATAGTAGTGAGTTCATTGGCGAACCAGTGACTGTTGATAAGTATAAAATATAAGATAGATTTTTTTCCTTTTTTCCTCTGTTCTTAGTCTGTATTTTTAGTTTGTACTTTTAATTTATTTTTAAATTTTCATTCTTCTTTAAGATTAAATATTGTTTTGTTAAAAAAATTATTATTAAAAACAAACAAACCAGGTTCATACTAGGAACTCCACGGATCAGACATTGATTCCCTCCACTGTTAGGCTCCTGAACATCGGAGGAAATGCTAGACTGCAGGAGTTGGGCCATTTGTACAGCTATCCAAGTTCTTCTGGCCTCCCGGTTCTCACTGGCTGATCCAGTGCTTTTGGCTCATGTAAAACCTCCCAAATCTGCCACCTTCCTTCAGTTTGGGCAGTTTGTGGCAGGGCGCAGCACCAGGCTCCTAGATGTGCTTGGTGCCCATTGGACTTGCCTTCCAGGCCTGGCAATCTGTCATTCATAGAACCTGAAACTAAATGACTTCTTGGAATTCCCAGTGTGAACCAGAGCCCAATTCTTTACCATCCTTTCTCTGTGTTTTAAAAAGACAAAACCGTTCTAGCAGGGGAGGGGGGCAAGAGTAATCTGACTCAGCCTGTGTATCTGACAAAGAGCCATTTCTCACTCATGGGGATGTGGATTGTGAATCTGAATCTTCATACAGGCTACATCCAACAATACTCCATTTCTTTCTTTGCTGGTCCTATGATATCCCTTTTTTTCCATCTAGAGTTGATCAATCTGATGAGCAATGGAAAAAAGGTAAAAAAGGATGTAGGCTATTGCATGTGTTCTGGGTAACCTTCTCCCCTTTCTCCTTCAATGGCATATTGTTCCATTCTTAGCCAGAGAAAAGGGATAGGAGGAAATGCGTGTCTGTGTGTGTACAGATGTTTTCAGTCCAGAGAAAATGAGAGAATTTCAACTAATGGAAAATTTATTAAAGAAAAAAACCCCAACCATTTTCTTTTACAGAATATAAGCAAAAAGTGGGAATTAAGGTATGTATCTTCTATGTACTGTACATACTTGACTTTTTAGAACAAGGAAAGGAATTAAAATGAACAGCCAGTGATAATGAAAACGGATGCTGAGGGGAGAATGTGTAGATACATGTGTGGACTAGTTTGCACTCACACAGTGCAGAAATGGTTTTATTTTGTTTCATGTGGGTTTGTGAAACACAGTTTTATGGCTTAGCATGCTGGATAAAGCAGCATTTGACTTAAATTATAGGTTATTTGATAAACAATAGGCTTGTGTATGCTTCAGAAATAATTATGAAGAAAGGCTGTTGACCTCACATGAGCACAGTGCCACTCTGGTACTGATTAAAGCAGCCACATTGCTTTTCAGACTTCAGTATAAGTGTTAGCTTTACCAGGGAGACGAGACCAAAAACAGGACCAGATAAACTAATTCTACTTTACTGTAAAGATACATTAACAGAATCTTACAATCTGAAAGTACAGTTCTCCTTCCTTCACCTTTACAATCTGAGAACCTAAGGAGGGTCCCTTGGGAGCCCACTGTGCGGCTGCAGGCTAGGCTGTCCCTTATCTGACCGTTCCCTAGGCAGCATATCTCCCCACCACCACCCCAAGGTCTTTCCTACATACCATTACAAGAAGCCTCTTCAGCTCATTAAAGTGACTCCAAAAACAGAGGCATCTTTTTTTCCTGAGCTCATGTGGAAACTTGAAAGAGGGGACATGGTTGCTTTACTGAGTTGCAGCTCTGCTCACATTTGCATAAGGTTATGAATAATTTTTAAGTGTGTGCAGAAATTGGGACTGAAATGAGAAAGTAGGAGATTTAAAAAGAACTGATCAGGAAACAGCACAAATTTAGCAGTTCGTTGTTATGTGTATCTTTTGAGGAAATCCCATCAGGAATATTATCCCCAGTAAGAGTCTTTGTCTTCCATATACCTCCCAGCTTCACCTCCTATCATAAGCTGGGAGAGGTAGTAATCTAAATCTTACTGGCAGAACCCTTTTTCCAGGAGGCCCCCAGTAAAAGATAATTATTATAGACTATCACTAATTGAGCTGAAGACAAATTTTTCATCCATTGGTTATCAGTCCATATTTGATCTCTGGTCAGTTTTTTCCCTGAACAGAGATAATCCATTTAGTCAGAACTGCATAGAACTGCAAATTTCTGAAGGATGGAATGTTTCAATCTGGTTATGGGTAGTCTAGATCCAGAACAGAGGCCACAATTTGGTGGATTCATCTACATCATAAACTAGAGAGGAGGAACGCATCCTAGTCAGTTCTGTTGGGCTTCTGAGTGGTATTCAGTACCATTGACTGAGGTATCCTTCTGGTCATGCCTTTCTGTGCTATCATAGTTATAGCCAGGTCAGATTATTACAACATGTTATATTCAGAACTATGTTTGAAAAATCTTTGGAAACTATAACTAGTCCAGAATGCAGGTGCAAAAAAGTTGGGAGAATCATATTATGCCATCCTGCAAGAGCTGTGCTAGCTGCCAGTTTGTTTGTTTCTAGGCACAAATCAGAGTGTTGGTGATCAATTTTAAAGCTCAAAAGGCGTTAGGTATACAGTATTTCAGAAACTACCTCTCCCTGCTGTCGGATAGAGAAGTCCTTCTCTATGTCCCAGCTGTGGAAGAGGCATTTTTGGATGGAATGACAGAAAGGTCCTCAGTGACCACATCTAAACTCTGGAACTTTCTACCGGGGGGACAAACAGAAAGAGCCCCTTTTCTACCTTTTTTTTTCCAGCCAACAAGACTTATTTTTAAGGAAGTAACTTTCTTCACAGGAAACCTACATACCAGCAGAAGCTGCTGCCTGCTTTGTAATTTTTTTCTGAGATTTTTGAGTTTTGTTTTTACAGATGTTTCTTAATCTTTTTTATCTTTTAAACATTTAAAATGTTGCACTGATTTTTAAGGTTATCAGCTACCCTAAGTGAAATGAGTGCCTTAGAATGGTAGGATAGAAATCTTAAAAAAAAATGAACAAAAGTTCTATCATGTTTTCTTCTGAGTGGGCATTTTTTGAGTGGGTGGGGAAGACTTCATAATCAGTGATTTTCCTTAATTCTGTTTCCTGCCCTTTTTCTACAATTCTCAGAACAGTTCTGAACAGGTCTATTTAAAAGATATTTTTTACAACAGGCTTCTAGAATGTGGAAAATACTGAAACACACAGATTAACTCTACATCTTGTCTTGGTGCCTTGTACACTTGTACACTTAGAGTAGAAGGAATATTTTCCAACATGTATATACAGATTTGGGTGTTCTATTTGCAATGTATTATTTATCCTAAGAATTTCCTCTGTAGCCAAATGTGATGCTGAAGAGAGGAAAGAGATGGGTAAAACAATAAACAGCTTTCTAGAAAGTAACATTGGAGTCACTGTACTGTAGGAAAAACTCTACACATTAATCTGCTTTAGCTGACCTTGTGGACCTCCAGCCGGATGTTTTGCTTCCTTGTCTCCAAGGATGAAATACTTATTATAGAGGACAGAGGGTTAGCAAGCCGAAGACACTCTGTTGTGGGATTTATGGGGATCAAGATGACATATGTTTAATATGTGGCCAAATTATTGCCTGTTCCCCCCACCCCAAGAATTTTCACAGGCTCATTGTGGACATTATCCTGATGATTAAGGTATGCCGACGTTTCCGTGCTGGACTGAAAGGATTGTCAGGTTTTCACCTGATAGAGAAAGATTGTCGTGGAAAGATTGAAGATGTAAGGAGTTCCTAAAAATTAACCGAAGATTTTCTATTTATTGCTGATATTTATTATTACTTTTTAACATTGACTTCCACTGGTATTCTACAACTTAAAAACCATTGAAGTCCATAAATATAAAATAGAATTATGTGTTAAAAATTACCATGGAAGTGTAGCTGTAGAATACTTTTAAGCTTTTTTTTTTTTTTACAGAATTCTATATAAAATTAACTGCCACTCAATCCCTACTTTTTAGGATATCAAGAGCTCCAATATTGTGTTTGATCGACATGAATTCAGCGTTTCAAAGGTTTGGACAAGTCCTACATTATTTTTTGGGTGGTTTTTTTGCACCTGCAGTGAGAGACGTCCAGGGGACATGGGTAGGAATATAGCAGTGGGGAAACTGAACACATGCCTCTTTGGAAGACAAAACAAGAACAACTCAGAATGTTTCAACCCAACATTTTAGTTGAGTTGTTTGGTTTTGAGCTTAAGACGAAATACATTTTTGGTTTCATGCATGCACTGTTACTCAGTCCTGCCTGACAGAATCACAGTAGCAAAAACTGATGTGTATCTGCCACAGGGGGTTGACAGTTTGAGCTTGACTGGATGTGAGCGCAAGATGCTTGAAGGAGGAAAGGTATGTGAAAGGGGAGTGGAATATATAGAAGCAGATGCACTTCAGTATGACCGAGCATGGGGATTAAAAGTTGTCTTCCCAATCCTTGGGTTGATTGGTATTACCACTGCTATCACCCCTTAGCCACCAGGTTCATGTGGGCTGGGGAATGGTGGAATTATAGTCCACTATCTGCATAGCAAAATGTCAGGAGGGAGGGTTCGCATAATAGGTGAATTGAAATATAATTCCCACTCATCTGCGTTATTCCTGAATACTATTTTAAAAATTAAGCAGTATAGCTGAAACCTGGGAGTATTCAAGGGGATCTTATTGCCAGGAGCATCTGCAGATGGGGGGAGGGTGTCAAAATGGCATCTGTGACCACATGATCAAGGCCCCGCTCCTTTTTAAGTTCTAAGGCAGACCCAAGTTCACTTTAATGCCCTGCTGATGCTCTGCTTATTACTTCCACAGTGGGCTTCCTTCTCAGTTGCAATAATGCCTCAACATTACACAAGCTTTTCCCTGAAAGCAGTAAATTACTTTCATGAATTCTAATGAGTTAGATTTATTTATTTATTTATTAATCAAATTTGAATAGCCGCCCATCTCACAAAAAAGCAACTCTGAGTTACTCCTGAATAATTTACATTATGCAGGCATCTTAGTGACTGTGGGAGGAGAGGTTTGCAATGGGAAGGGCTTGTGGTGCCTGGGAAAGCTGTAAAAATGCTGTGGCCAAAGTTCTCACAGCATCCATCACTGCAATGGAACTTTGTTATTTTTTTGTCGAGGTGGAAATCACATCTTTCTCCGTGGAACTGAGAAATAATGACATGGAGATATGATACAATATTGAGCAGATTAGTACTGCGAACAATAAAAGACATTTGAATTTGCAGCTTTTAAAGGGAGGCAGAAGAGAGAGAAAGAACTAATAATCCCTAGGGTCTTGGGAGAATGGCATTGCCATCTTTTACTGCTGTCCATGTGAATATTTCTTTTAAAATGTGTTTGATATTGCCTTCAGGATCATTTTCCTTTTAGAGCAATCCAAATAACTAAGAAGCCGCCAACATGGAGGACTGAATCAGAAATAAAACACCTGCGAAATTGCTTGCAGCTTTTAGAAAGCTTCCGACAATATAGTCCAACGCTACAGTATCTGTTGGCCAAAGTGATTCGCTTTGAACGGTAATTGGAAAGGGGAAGTGGGCCGGGGAAGAGAATAATGGCTTTGGAGCAAGCCAAGCTGGATCTGTAGCTTTAAAGGTCTCCAAGCATCCCAGTTAAAGGCAACCTCCCATCAAGGTCACCCAAGACGTGTTATTGCCAGAGCTGGAGTGACCTGTGGCATCTCACTGCTTTGCCTTCTCATGCTGAGGATGTCACCCAAGACCTTTATACAAATCCTAGGCAGGTTCTAGGGAAAAACTCTGCAAGGTCTCCCTGCTCTCTGTAATTGTGGTCCTGTATTCTGCTGACTCTAATTCAGTCTGGAAAGCTGCTCATCCTATTAACATTTCCCGCGGTGCTCCAGACTGCCCAACTCAGTACCCTTGTTGGTACTGGAGAGGATTCCCCCCAGCTGCTGCCATTAGAAAAGCCTGTCACTGGGAGGGGAGGAAGTAATGGGGGTAGATCACCTTCTCAGATCTGCTAGATGTATTGAGTCATATTGTGAGTGTTCACTACATATCAGCGTGCTTCCCAAACATTTGCTAAGTAGACATAGTTGGATAGGCCCTTGTTTTTTTCCTATATTCTATATTCTTTTCTATGTTCCCCTACAGTGCAGATCTACTGGAACCGAAATAGGGGTGAGAGTGGGCTTTCTCAACAATGCCAAGGCATCCTTATTGCGTGATTCTTTCTGGAGGAAAGACTCTAGATGAAATGTTTCTGTCTTAATTTTCAATAGCTTGCCTAAATGATAGTAACACTTCTCATGCTGTCATCATTCAATATTTTATAAGACCTTAATTGGAGAACCTCTTTCATAGCCAAAGACAATTAAAGCTCTCCCACAGACTTCCCGATCCTGTTTCCAACTTCCTTTGTGGTAGTGTGATGAATTTTGGATTAGTTGGAATGATTTCCCCAAAGATCAATTTTTCCCTGTAAGAACTGAACACTTCCATGAGTGTGGGTACCCTAAGACAATTCCTATTTACACCGACAGCAGGACAGTTCCTAGGAATGACTGTGGTTCAGTGGCTGCAGGAAGAGATGGAGGATTTGGCTAGGGTTTGCTCAGGCATTCATAAATGTAATCAGAATGGACAAGTGCTAAGAACTACTCAACTACAGAATAGATTGTCTCAAAAGGAGGTAGACTCCCCTTCTCCAGAGGTGCTTAAACAGAAACTGTAGGGGGTGCTGTAGTAGTGGATTCCTGCACTGAGCAGGGATCCTATAAATGTTGGAGAAAGCTGACTTGGTCTTCTAGAACATGACAGGGACAGAACAATGCATCCCTTATTTTATGTTCCATCTATAAATATGTAGACCTTTTCTAACTACCCCAAAAGCCATCTATCTGAAACTATACTGGCATAAAATGTACTACCCTCGTTGCCTATCTCTACCTTGCCTCCTTCCAAGTTACTACCCTATGGTAGCATTGTGATTTTGCGTGTATCACTCAAGTGAAGCAAAGTTATTTGTTACCAGGGTTTCCTATGGATTCCTAGGATTTGATAGAAAACTCGGGGCAAAACACCATGTCAGACTTGTTTTTCTTCTCGATCAAAAAGAATGTGCCTCTGATACTACTCAGAGTATCAGAAGAACTGTATTAGACCAGACCAATCTAGTACAGAATTCTGGTCCCGGAGTGGCCAACAGATAATCATGCAGCACTCTTCTGTTTTTGCTTCCCAGCAACTGGTAACTAGTGGTAGGAAGAAAAAGCTAAACCGTCTTCTCTGTGTAGACCAGGTCCAGTTTGAATACCTCATGGCTGCTTTTGTAGACAAAAGAGGGAAGGAGATATTGGAAGGCAATACATTGAAGAATATCATTATTATAACATCTAGATTGTCTCCTTTTTTCCACTCTTTTAAGATATTCAGTGATTGTGTTTTCAGTCAAATGGTCATAAGATCTTATTCTTTTGGCTTCAGTTTGATATTAATAAAGAAGAAAGGAACAGATAATGATCTGGATTGTTCCGTGGGGATGATGCTTATTCAGACACAAAAAAGAGATGTTGTAGAAGATGCCTGTTAAAGGAATGACAGCTCTCATGTTTGAAAAATGTACCAGTGGCATACTACATAAGAAATATCAAACAAAAGAAGTGTATGGAGTATACAATGGCACAAGTGTATGAACTATGCATTATTTCAGTGTCCAGCTGAAAATCAAATGAGTTGGATGTGTCCTGCATTCAGTCTACGAAAAATCAGATGTCTGGTAGCATCTTTTCAGGTTAACACATTTTATCACAAGGCATAAGCTTTTGTGAATTACAGCTCACTTCACTGCAGGCATGGAGTGGCTAAACTGAAGTAGGATTTAATTTGGAATGAGGTGAGGAGGAAAAGAGCAGAGGACAGAAGACAGTGGTTATGCAGTGGTTATTACAAATACCTTATAAATTAAAATTTGGAATATGTTAGAAACCCATTGTGTTTGTTGAGACCTTTTGAGATTAATATATGTGATTTCAGCAATCTCTTGCTCAATTGTGCTGATGAAGTTTCTTTGTTCCAGCATAGCTACTTCAAGGTCTGTTATAGAGTATCCTGGCAGGTTAAAATGATCTATTATTACTTTGCCTTGTTTTGAGTCCTGATGTCAAACTTGTGTCCATTCATTCTTCTGAACAAAGTTTGCTCCATTTGTCCTACTTAGACTCCAGAGGATATTAGCCTTGTGAGATCATTCAGAGAAGAAGCACAGCCAGGAGTACTACCTCTGTCTTTGTTGTAAGGTTACATTAACAGAATCTTGCAAGTCTAAAATTGCCCCTCACTTTTACTCACCCAAAAACTAGAGAGGGTCCTTTCTGAGCCACTTTTGCCACCCCTCCTCCTTCAGACTCAAATTTCATTTATCAGACTGCTGTCTAGGCTGTGGCTCTTCCTCCTGTCTCTCAAGATCATTCTCACATACCATTACAGAGGGGCATTGCTGGCAGATGATGGCATATCTCACATCAGAGGAACAGCATGTGAAGGTGCCCTTAATCTGTGTGTGAAGCTGTTGGGGCCTGTGACTGCACAGCTGGTGCAATGCAGGGGCAAAGTAGATATCCTCCTGTAATGTCTACAATGGAATTGAATCTGTGAAGAAACCTTGAGGCAGTGAAAAACAGCCTTTAGCTTTGTCGGCTAGGAATTCTTGAAACTGTACTCTTATCACACCAGGTTGGGGAAGGCTAGCAAACTGTGCTAGTGATTTAAGTCTTCTTGTCCAGGTTCATTTCTGCTAGCTTGCGATGTCACCTGATGATCTGTTTTCCAGATTTGGCCGCAGAAGAGTGATCATAAAAAAAGGGCATCAAGCAACTGCCTTTTACTTCATTTATTTTGGTACAGTTGCTATCACGGATGATGAGGATGGTAGCAGTGCCTTTGTGGAAGCAGCTCCAACGACGCTTCATAAGGGCGCTTCTTTTGGTGTGAGTGTAACCTGCAACAGCGGTTCTCAATGTTTCACCTCCAACAAAGACCATGGTTTTGTCCACAGCAGAAACACATCTTTTTTCACAAAGGAAATAGCTATATATGTTTACAGGCATTGATAAATATTATGCCTGTAAGCACTATCGATACATAAGAGTTATAGTATTGCCTTTCCAATCCAAGATGCTACCCTTCCCAAGCACTGGGAAGTTTCAGCTGCAGAACTCCAACAGGTGGCATCGCCAAGTCAGGTCACTTCAGAAAATCTTGTAGAGTGAGCTACAAAGATCGGACAATGTCACAGCTGCGTATTCCAAGGGGCCCATAAAATCCTCACCACATATATGAATTTTAAATACATTTTGAAAACAAGGTGGCATCCTGAATCATCTGTATTTCCTAAAGTGCTGTAGGATTCCACCTAGACCCAGGAGGTATTACAGAGTAAAAATGATGGTGGCTGCAGGAAGGCTTCTGTTGATAAATGTGTTCTGCTACCCAGGAAAAAGGAAAAGAAAAGCTGAGAAGAGTCTGAGTTTAGGAAATAAGAGGTGGGAGGTGGAGCAGTGAGGAGGATGAGAAGAGAGAGATGAGGAAAAGGAACAGGCACGGGTACAGGTACAGGTACATTAGGAAGAGAGGAGGAATCAACCACAATGGCATTCTTTCTCATTTATCTCTTGCTTATTAACAGGAAATTGCCCTTTTGCAAAAAACAAAAAGAATTG